TATTACTATATAATAGAACAAATATCCGAAACAAAAATCCTTACTTTTTGCACACCTTTCAAATCGACTTTCAATTGTACTTTGTCCTTTCCCCATTTGGCGTACTTGCTCTTCCTCAACAATGTACGGAAGTCCGTGCAGCCTGGTTTCGAAACATACAAATGCGCTTCGTCGGAGAAGGTGCCATGACAGTTCGTGAAAACGATCTTGTATTTGCCTTCGTCACTTGTTTTAATGTTGCGAATACAAAGCGTGACCGTGTTGGTTTCGCCATCAGTATGGAATTTATAGCGAATACCTTCGAGGAGTGGAGTCACACCTTTGTAGTAGAATTTGAATGTTGGTGCCGGTGTACCTTCAACTTGCGCACTAATATACCCAGTTTCACCTGATTGAATAGAGTTAGTTTTCACTTAGTAGTGTTCAATACCAGTAGTGGCAAATAGACCAGAGAGACTCATTTTGTATATCTGCTGTTTTGTTTTTTTTGGGGTGATAGCTGATCTATTCTTCGTAACTAATATCTCTAGATGTAGCCCTATACAAAATGAGATCGCTGAAATAGACAATTAACTTTAATTGACAGTCAATTGTCTATTTGCCGGTTAATAGTTAAAAAAAAAAGTTATAAACCTTCAACAGCTCCGTAACTGTCATACATATCAACAATTTGCGGTTTCCCTGGTGGACCGATATCTCTTAATGGCGTTGATTCTTGATTAATTTGACCTTCAAGTGCTTTTGAGATAAGTGACGACCTACGTCCCTGTGAATTTCGTTTGTTAATTACAGAACAGGAAGAAAAATAGAAGAAAATACAACATTTCTCGATTCATGGTGATTCGTATTCGATTCACTCGTTGGAAAATAAGAATACAAAACACCAATTCAAATTGAGTTTTCTCAATTTTGTGTCAAATGGACACATGAAATTGAGCTCTATTTTCCATGTGCTGAGTTCTTCCCAACATTAAAGCTTAATTCAATGAGTTTCTTCTTTTCTAAGAGATTGATGTATTCAAGCGGTTCAAAATTTCATACCTTGTTGTCTGCGGCCATTTCACCTGGGCGTAGCTTTCTATTCGCCTGTTGTTTAAAAAAAAAAGAAGAGGAAGTCTTATCGATTTGATCTCAAATTGGTTGAATTGAAAAATTCTTTCGTAAATTTTACTTAGGAAGTAGTACGTGGAAAAACATGTATTGCTTTTTCCAAGGATCATGTGACTTCACCAAAATTAATTTCCGAATGGTCTTTAATAAAAAGTATATGCATGTTTATCAAACATACGTTTTCCGATGGCTCAGCATCTCAGCATTTCGTATCTGCGGATATATCCGAGCATATTGACGACGCAAGTCACTGTATAAGTGGCGTACAGCTACATCGACTACACACAAACAGAGAGTTTTACACACAAACAGAGAGCACAGTGTTTGTGTGTAGTCGATGTAGCTGTGCGCATTGACGCATGCCACTTATACAGTGACTTGCGTCGTCGATATGCTCGGATATATCCGCAGCATACGAAATGCTGAGATGCTGAGCCATCGAAAAACGTATGTTTGATGTTTATCAAAGTGAAGAAATATTGATTTGGTATAAATCCAAGGAGCGCAAACATTGCGCTACATTAGCTCGTTTTTGGAACAATTTCTTTGATAAGTGAAAATAAAACATAAATTGAGAGACCTATCATGATGATTCATAGATATTTTTTCTTTTGAAAATCCAATTTTGAAAGAACAAAGTAAAAACATTGTAATTTATGTGTTATTTATTCACAAAAATAGATTAAAATGAAAATTCAAAGTCAACACGAAAACACCTCTACGGTATAAGATATGCATACACACAAAACGATATGGAATTCAATTCTGTGTGTGCGTGTGCGTTAAATGCGTGAAACTACGAAGCTATTGACTGATTCTATTTCAAAAGAACGAAGAAAAAAGAATTCCACACGAATACGAATTATACGGCTACGATTATGTCAACAAGTCAACATTTTCTGGTTTAAAAATAGACGAATATACAAATATTCCAAATCGTTGTAACATACATAAGATCAAGCAAGTGATCGCTTAAAATATTTTTCGATTCGCGTACACATCGATTGGACGTTTTGTGAATGGAAGCAGCACAAAAGTAATGGTAGCCGAATCGAAAAGTCAAACAATAATTTTAATTGATTTGATATAATCAAACGATTTAAGTAACTTGAATGAAACACTGATTTCTTGTCAATTTATTTTCCTAAAAAAAAAACACATATCAAATGTCCAACTCATTTGTTCACTTCATATTTATCTGTACCACATCTGCTCTATTTTATTTGAAACATATTCATAATGTGTCATACGACTATTTTTAGGTTTCTCTTGCTACTTGGCAACGGACATTCACAAATTAAATCATACTCACGAAGTGAGAAAACGTAAAAAAAAAAAAATTTCAGTCGTTCGAGAATGACAACATTCTCCAAGAAATACTCAAAATTCCTTTTTTTCTTCGTTGAATTGAAGGACATGGCACAAATGAACCATTCATTGCATGATAATAAGTATTGTAGAATGGAATAATAATCAAAAAGCTACGAACCCCATCGCTTATTATCAAACTTGGTCGTCGTCCCAACTCTTCTGGTGGCAGTAATGTGCCGAGACGGAATGCTTGACCTGATCCAGATGCCTTACGTTCACCGGATGCGTTTGCTGCTGGTGCATCTCCTGATTTAATGGATGCTTTATTGGGTGCCTTAACTGCTGCTGGATCCTATTCAATATTCAATATCAAATTTCATGAATATCTGCGTCGTTTCAATAATTCGGACAATTGAAACCGATGAAATGATGATCACAAACACACTAACCATTTTTTTTTTACTTCGTTTTCTATCTACTCAATGGTATTTGTTTTTTTTTCTTTCGGGTTGAATGCAACTAACTAATATTCATTCATAGATATCAGCTCACTTGATTTTGCAAGAAAGAAAGAGTAATAAACAATGAACATTAAATACTACGAATCAAAAAAATAAATGTGTGTTCAGGATTGAGTTTTTTTCCAACACTTAACGATTCGAACAAAACACATAAAATCACAAATTGGCCAAATTATTCAGTAATTTCTTTTTGGCACCTCCCAAAGTTCAAGCATTAATTAACAACAACAATCACATGAATTTAACCCGTATCCATCGTTAATTTTTTTTTTCAAACGTCAGTACTGCTTTGTTTGAATAAATTTGAAAAAGTGAAGAATACTACATTATCTTCCTTTCTTTTTTATCTTGTATTAGACCAATAATCACATCTTTTTTAGTTCTTTTAGCTATTTCAAATCAACATTTGGTCAATAGACTGGCGATTTCAGAAGAAACGCAAAATGAAGATTGAAAATAGTCTCAAAATTTACACAAAACGTGGATACGGGTTTAAAAAAAAATAGAAAAAATGCATGAAATGATAAACATCTAATCGAATTAGTTTAAAGTCGATGCGGTGCAATACGTTGCAACGATCATCCAACTGAATGAATTGTTGAATTAATTGAACTGGCTCGAAAAACCCAAATAATAACAAACACACAAAGGAGTAAAGATGTATTAGCACAATAACATAGAAAATTCACTTGAAAAACTAACACTGTACTGGACACTCAACGTAAATCACTACAGAAAGAAAAAAAATCTAGAAAAATTAATAAATTCGCTTTTCAATTTTCACCCAGTTATTTTCGACTGCTGCCGCACAGTCCAACTTGTTCCACTGAACTACTTGAGAATTTCACAAATATCTTTTCAATAAAATCACTTCGCCCATGAACTATGTGTGAGCTATCTGGCTTGAATATGAATTTCGATAGCCAATCGCTGAAATAGAAAAGAAATTAACAGCGAGCGGTGAGAAAGAAATCAACAGAAAAATTCTATTTATAAGAATTTGTATCATTAAAACAGTTCGGAGATGTTGATTTAAAAATAAGCGCACACATCACAGATCGAGAAAGGCGTATATAAGAGAGGCCTCTCCAAACATAATTTTCTCGTGGCCACGATTGAATCGTCTAGAAGAGCACGTTTTATGCTAAAGAAACACTTTATACCGTCGGATTTCGATTGTTGAAGCATGATTTAAACAACAATATTAATTACTACGGTTTTAAATTCCCTTTTTGTAAACTTCGATCAAGTTGGATGTTCCATTCTCACCAATTTAATTGTCTAGCATCGAGTAAAATTCAATTGTGGCTAAAGAAGAAGTTGTTGATTTTTTTTATCAAGAAAATAATCGAACATTCTTCATCGATATCGTATCATTTTTGTGTCCATATTTTTGCCCTTTCATTGAAAAACTTCAATTTCAGGTGTTGAAATGGAAATTAATAATTAAAGAAATTCTTGAAAAGAAATGGTATACCGTTTATTGGTTGATCAAAAATATTCTCCCCGATTCCCGATATCGGGCGATGGTCGTGGTCGATACATTGAAATGAGAAAAAAGACTTTTGTTAAAGATTCGAGTCAAGATAATGTAGTTTTTGACGAGAGCTTATTGTTTCTGTTTGTGCGTACCAACATTTTTCCAACTGTACATTAAGGCGGTCAAAAATCGACCACCTACTGTATAATATACAGTGTTTATAATGTACTATATGCTTATATCATTTGGTTTGTAATTCACAGTCTATATAACGTCATTTATCGTACATCGTCCGCCGATTATTTACAAAATTCGCGCCGGTACACACACACGACAAGTGTTATGCGAATTATTGAAATTGTCAGCACATTTCGAATATAAATGTTGCAACGCATCGTTTGTTCGTCGTATGAACTTTAAACGAATCGTTTAAGCATCTGCGGAAAAATGATTCATGTTGTCTCGTTTTTTATCCCATGCCATTTATTCGTATTTTCTCTCAATGGATATAAGGAAAGCGCCAATTTGTCTGCACACATACAACCGCATTGTGTGCCGCTCAATAGAAACCTTGTTCCAATCCATGTCAAGAGTTGCGTATCCGCCAATCAGTTCTTTTACTCTGCTCTTGCTATCAGTTCAGATAAGTTCAGTATATTGCCGAAAATAGGCAAAATTTTGATAAATCCGGGATTTCCTGTGAATTTGTCTTGATTTTCGTGCCGTTTGAACGAAGAATTGGAATATTCCGAAGAAGACGAAGAAAAAAGAGCAAGAGCAGCAGAAAGGGAGATAAAACGAATAAATTTTCATTTAAAAAGCGATTTTGTTTATCCTTTGGAAAACAGTACGCTTATCTAGTGCAATACATTCCAGAAAAAGTGACTCGCCCAAATATGGAACGAATAAATAAATTAATCCATAAAATTCCAAGTGTATCAACATGCTGTTTTTGTGTTGATTTGCGAACGGCTGGTTTAATCATTGGTTCACTGAGACTGGTCGGTTTCACTCTGTTACTTTTCAAAGTAATTTCATGGCGAATGCTTTGTAAGTAGAATTGTTATTTTGCTGTATTTAGAGAGGGATATTATGTAAACACAAAGGTGTCATGATGTCGCCGTGTAAGCGAGACAATACAAAGTTATCAATACTCAATTCTGGTTTATATTGGTAGACATTATCCATTGGATAAATGAAGTAATTTTCAAGTGAAACAGGATACAGATTTACATTTTGCCGTAACACATTAATATTGTAACGAAGAGCCAAAGTAATGCTATTACAATTGTAATGCCAAAATTTAGCATTACCGATAATGTGTTACAATTGTAATGCCAGTCATTTGGCATTACCGGTAATAGCTATTACAATTGTAATAACATTACAGGAAATTTTTGTTAACGTAATGCTACTACCTATTACATTTTTAATGCCGGTAAATCTGTAAAACAGGATAAGCAGCTATATCTAATCAAACATAATAAACGAGATATAATTTTTTAAGCGAATGTAAATAATCAAAAGTTTATGCCACCAATTCATGCAATTCAAATGAAATGAAATTGTAAAGCGGTTTGGCGAATGCCACTGACATATTTAACGCAGTAAAACGTACTTATCTGCAGTAATAAGAGCACATCAACAAGATGGCATAGCATTTTGTGCCGGAGAGACAGAAATTTGATTTGTTTATGCCGAATTTGTCTTGGTCAAAAAACGTTAAGCAATAGCAAAATTTTCACAAATCATTTCCAAGAAAAAAAATCTTTGAAAAATAACAAAACTAATAATGAATATTTGTTTCGTTTCTGTCTTTGCAGTAATAATATTGCTAGGTAAGATTATATTTGTAGTTTGGATTAATTACTGATATCCAATGCTCTAATCATTGATTAATTGTTTGTTTGTTCGTTCATTTTCATATGAATTTCAAGATGTGTGCTGGATCTACGGTATTCTCAAAGTAAATTTAATTCCCTGATCTGAAATCAAAATTGATTTTCATGGAAAAAATAAAAATAAATTCTAAATTAATCTATTTAACTAACTTATATGAACGATTGACACCTACGCGCTTTGTAATCGCGCTATTCTGTTCTATGGTATGCAAGGCATATACAGAGACGATAGTGGACAGAGGAACAGTGGGAATGTACTCGAACATTATAAACAGTAATACTGACAGTCCTGTTACAGTATTCACGTGCATCGTAGTAGCCTGTGGATTTTCTTCTCTGCTTTGGAAAACATAGAGCGAAATAGTGCGAATACAAAGCGCATAACATCAATCGTTCATACGTGTAAATTCATTGAACATATATTCCAAATCTGATGATCATTTCAATAATTGACTCTTTTTTCATCTCTTTTTGAACAGGAGAAACCAATTTTCATGCTTCCGACCATACTAACGTTGGTTGTGGCGTTATTCGAAATCAGTCTTCTTCTATTTATTTTGGCTGCATTTTTGATGGCTGAAGCTACCGTCCCAATAATATTCCTTATTTTGTTAGCGTTGGCTCCGTTTTTAGGTAAATTTTCATGTGTCTTGATTCGTGAATGGACTTTACTTTTGTCGAAATAATAACTGTGTCCAATTTTACGTTATTCGTGTCTTCTCTTAATGTTTGCGGATAAATTAAATCAAGTCGTTTGTATGTTCTTTCTCCTCTTCTCTTAGCGTTTATAATACATGTTATGCTCGTGCAAGTTTCATTGTACAAAACAATGACCGAACAACCGCCACCTTCAATTGAAGCAAACGCTCACTCTGTTGAGTATAAACCGGAGATGGCTCAGGACGAGAAACTGGTATTAGACTGTCGACATTCATGTACTGTTTCTGTTTCTTCGGGCATTTCTTTCGATGATTAAAAATGAGTGCATTCAATAGACTGTAGTTTGTAAAGCAAATGAACGTCCACCAAATGCTATGCTTTTGTAAGCGGCAATAAAAAAATGTTTTTGAGTGAAAATTAGACTCTCTTTCGTGTGCAACGGTTTTCAAGTATTATTTTGGAGCCAGCAAATGTTTTAAAACCAATCGTCAATCGGTAATTCTAGTTGCACTTTTGTAAATACTGCGATAAGATCTGGATTTATTGACAATTGACAGCGGTTCACATATTATTACAAATTACCGAATTCCGTCCGTTGAACGCACTTATTCTTTTCGATAGAAAAAGAAGAAGAAAATGAGATTACACTGAAACGACATTCGATATAAATAGCGTAACTCTATTATTAACATATTTTTATAAAATAGGAAACTCAGTATGATGTTTAAAAGGGCCCATAAACGTTCAGATGGATGACTGAGGTGTGTATATTGTGCGTGGAAACAAATTGTGGTTGGTTGACGTTTCCATATATACTTTGAATCGAGTTGAATTACATATTCCGTGGGTCATGATTCTTCTTATAATATTAAATTTTCAATTTTAATGTAAAATTGTTCAAAGTACAGATGAACCCGTGAGCATAAAAAGAACGTATTGACTCTTCGCCGATGAATACGAAACGCAAAAAAATCGCC